GAGTCGCTAGCATGGCTTTAGACTCGTAGTCTTTTTACTTGTTACTTTTACAGAAACAGAAATGTACAGAAAGACTTATTCTGCCTTCATGTCATATGTTTACAGGCTCTATAGTATGTAAAGAGATTAATATCGATGACAGTTAATCGACTGTTTGTTTTACAAGTCTCACTTTGACCATCAGTTAAACAAGAATACTTTCAACATGACTTGAACGCAGCATTGTGTGCTCTGTCCGTACCTATGACAACTCCTGTGATGACCTGATGTGGGAAATGTGCAGCGACAAAGACCCTGGAGAGGCACACACACACCTGCACACACCAGAACAGCGTCCACAGTGAGACACGCACACACCTGGAGGACAAATACACACGTTATTGCTCCGACTACTCGCAGTGCACAGAGGGGTTACACAGGTAAGGTTGATCTTACCATTTCCTGATCTGATGTCCTTCTTTCTTCAGCAATGTGGCGAGGAGTGAGGACATCATGGTGTAGTACACCGCTGCAGCCCCCATGGCATGACCTGACGGACTTCCTGTTAGGGCAGGAAGTACGTGTTTTAAGAGACGGACCAAAGAAGATCCTGAATTAACTCACACATGCTACTCACTATGTGTCCCTACCTGGTCCGGTCTCACAGGTCATGGGGAATTGCTCTATCATTGGGTGAGAGGAGTTGCCATAGTAACCTGTCTCCTGAACCCACCAATAGGGACGCTCTCCAAACAGAAGCCTTAACAACATCATCATCATCATCATTAACACCCTATTTCCACTACTCACCATTTCAGCATCAGGTTGATCCAGTCTCCCACTACCGCCACCCACACCAGTTTGATGGCTTCAGCTTGCTGTACATGGAACCATATGGGGAACAACAGGAAGAAGGTGTTGCGCAGGTCAGTTGCCATGGAGACTGACTGGAAGTAGCTCTGGCTGTGGCTGAAGTGGGTCTGCAGGTAGTATGTACTGCTGACACCGGAGCTGTGGAGCAAGTCCATTACCACTGCAAGAGAA